GGAGATCTCACTTTCCCTTTCAGAATTGGAACTAAGCAGGATCAAGAAGCTTGTTCTACCCATGTTGGATAGCTTTAGACTAGCCAGGATCAGGGAGGCTTCAGAGTTGTTTGAGGAATTAGAAAGAAGAGGGAAGTTTTCCTTTTCCTTTGTTAAAGATCTTCTGGAAAGAATCCATCGTTTTGATCTTGTAGAGAAACTTGCTGAACCTTTTCACAATGGTGGAGAATCGTGTAGAAGGGAATCTTGTTCACCTCAAGAGAACAAACAACTGGTTGACATGTCTGAAAGTGTTTCTGGTGTCAATGGTAAACAATGCGATGAAATGGAAGAAAGGAAAGAAATATTTGACAACACTGAAGTTGATGAAGAGGAAGAAGTTTGCAACAATTCCAATGTAAACTCACTTAATGGTGATAAAGAGGGGGCTGCTCTTACTTTTCATGCCGAGAGTGTGAATGGATCAAGGTTTTTTGGAGATGTGGATTTGTCAGAGGAGAGATACGATTCAGCCTCAGGTTTGTCTCAGTCATTTGATGTGTCAAGTATTGGATTGGACTCCCGAGAGAAGTCTTGGTCACCTTCATTTACAGTTGAACAATTTGAAAGTGAAAAGCTGAAAGGAGCATGTGCTGCTAATGGCAAAAGGGTCAAAGAAGTTACTCATGACTTCTCTTTTCCTGATGGTGCAGAGACACAATCTTATTCTAATCATCACTTTAATGACACTGTAGATGGTGCAGCTAATTTACCAGATAGAGCCCAAGATAGTTTAAAGCAAGAAGACTTAACTAGTGTGAATCAAGATTCTCTTCCAAATGGAGACACAAATCAGAGGCAAAATGTTTCAGGTGCAAGGTTCACTGCTCAAAAGGACACAGCAACAGATCTTTCTGACTCTCATGTGAGCAGTCAGTCAAAGAAATGGGAGCATTTAGGGGCCAGGCCAAGAGACAGACCTAAAACAGACAGATGTCCAGAACCTTCTTTGCTAAACTCATTGGAAGACTTGGTACCTCCACAAGTTGCTGGACCTGTGGCTCATGGAGTGGCCAACACATTCTTAGAAAGACACTCAGAAGACAAACATCTTCATGAAAGTTTATATTACACTAACGTTGAGAAGATGTTGACTGAGAATTCTTCATTACAAGGAGCTTCTCATGTAGACAGCATGGTAAACTTGACTGAGTCAAATAAAGCTCAACTGTACTTTGGTGAGTGTCAAGTTCCTTTCAGGCCAGATCCATATTCTCAAATACATGTGTCATTGTTCCCTCAGACTAGTGGAGCATGTATTGGAGGAAATAACAGTTCAAACACTGGCTTCAACTTATTGAATCCTAATGTAGCCAACAACTTTGTGCCTTTTACAGGACTGCAAGATGGGACTTTTCCATCTTTACAAAGAGATGAAGTTTTTCATTCAGGGTTCACTGGTTCAGGATTGACCTCTGATTTCATGCAGCCCACAGGATCTCAAATAGGTGCCTTTAACGCATTGAATTCCAATTCATCATTAAATGAGTATGCTCTTGGTACAAGAGAGCCTCAAATACCTCCGGATGGGCATTTTACAAGTTTGCAAATTAATCAACCAATTCACCTAGGGTTACATGGTTCAGGCTTCACTTCTGACTTGACAGGGTCCACAAGGCCTGAAATGACACATTCTGCAACTGGTACACAGAGAAACAGTGACTTCAGAGGCAGTGCATCAATGTTACCTTCAACAAGAAATTCTGGATTATTAGGAAGTTCATCAGTTAACAAGCAAACCTATGGTTTCCCTCCAGATGCTTCCCTAACTTCATCTTCAGGTGCAAGGGTTAATGGATCTGACAGCAAGCTTTTTTCAGAATCAGAGTCAAGTAGAGTTAGTCAGTTATTGCCAGTCACAACAGGCAGTGATGGTTTGAATACATCTGAAGAGGTTAACTCTAGTAGCAATGCAATGAATGCATCTGGTGATCATTTGGCTTCTGGACATTATAGAGAAGGAAGCAGGGCCTATAATTCTTCAAGCTCTCACATGATATCTGGTACTGATACAGGGGAGAGTCAATCTGGCGAAACTGAAGATTCAGTCACAAACAGAAACTATGGCACAGAGTCAGTGGAGTCTACGGATAACTCCCTACTTGAATTGGAACAGCGTGTTGAAGAGGCTTGTGCAATGGTGGAAAGAGTGCTTAGGGAGAGAGAAGAAAGAGAAGAGTTTGGTCGGGAAATTGAAAGAAAAGAGCGTGAAATTCGAGCAGAAAGAGCACGAAAGAAGAGAGAAAGAGAAGCAAGGGAGCTAGAGGAAGCCAGAGGATGGCCTCAACAGCAGGAACCAGTTACTGGACAGTCTTTGTGGCTTTGTGAGCATTACCAACGTCATTGTAGAGTACGTTTCCCTTGCTGTAACAACTTCTATTCATGCCACCGTTGCCATAATAATTCCAAAGAATGTGACAATGAGGAAGCTAAAGCAAGTCATGCTACTCACCTTAAATGCAGCTACTGTCATCATGAACAAGAGGTGATGAAAGGTTTTTAGTTATGTTGTAAATTATAGTTATAAGAATTGCCATATTTTTTATTGGGAGTGGTAGAAAACATACAGGGAGGAGATTTATGTCCTTTTTTCCAGTAATATTTGTTAACTGTTTTGGTGACTTATTAATTATAATACACTCTCTACTGTTGCAAACTCACTTTGCACATGTTTGCAAAATTTTAGTTGCCATTTAAATAAAAATTAAGCAAAACAAATCTCACTGCAAATTCAGATACCAAAATGTTATCCCCTTTCCATGGCAACCACACTGGTTGATGAATGAGACAATCTATGTTAAGAACTTTGTGATCATAATTCCCACTAACTTAGAGTGTGAGACTTTGAGTGTGATTTTCCAAATCATTTCCTTTCAGATTGGTGAAGACAGTGGCAAGTGTCGTAGTTGTGGAGCAAAGATGTCAGCATACTTCTGTGCTATTTGTAAACACTTCACCAGCATTGACAAAAATCCATACCACTGTGAAAAATGTGGAATATGCCGGTAACTGACCTGACAGAGTTTTCAGTTAATAAAGAACTTTTCTGTTGTGTTTTCCAAAGCTTTTTATGTTTTGAAGCCACATGAGCTTTTTCAAGGGTTCAAAGTGTAACTTTTATTGTAAGTCATCTGTTTGGCAACCTATATGTGTAGAAACATAGAATGGTAACCAGAAAGTAAACACTTAAACAGCTCACATTTTGCCTAAATCTTTCTTTTCTCAATCCTACCTTGAAGCCAGCTTTACAAATTTGATTTTTCTACCTTTTAAAGCAGGGCACTGGTCTTATTATGCCATGTTTTCTTGTAGCATACATAAAGACAAATCGTTCCACTGTGATGTATGCAATGTCTGTCTCGACAAACGGCTTCAAGGAAAGCACAAGTGTAGGCCAGACTCTGGCCATGATGAATGCTGTATCTGTTTAGAGGTGAGCTGGTAACTTTCAAAATAATTTTGGTTTCTTAATCGTTTTTATTATTATTATTGTTACTGTTGTTGATATATTTTTTATTAATTTACCTTTCTACTTCTTTTCCCATGAGAAAATTGTCCCACCCTGTATGTGTAACACTGTGTTCTTTCCAAACTATTATATCAAAAGTCACTTTCACATGAGCCATGTTCTCCAACCACTTTTACACCTTCAGACATTTTGTGGTTATTTGCTTAGAAGATATATAAATGTAACACTAATTTTAAATTCTGACATACTTTGTACAATTTTTCTAACCCACTACATGTGTATATATTAGAAAACTTGTTTATACCTTCCTTTTATCCCTTATTTCTTGACTATATAAAAGCACTACTTTAATCATGACTTCAGCATAATAACTTTTCATTTTTGTTTTACTTGTAGGATGCTTTCAGTGGATGTCAGATTTTACCCTGCTCACACAAGGTTCATCGAGAATGTGCAATAGCTATGATACAGAATGGAATGTAAGCACTTAATTCTTCAATATTCCTTCGTCACTTCTTTGCCTTGTTTGTTTATTTGTATTTTGTTGTGCTAGACTACACACTTTCCACTTGATAGTCAGAGAAAACAAGAAGTATATTCAAAGTTAAAAACTCTTCTGAGCAACTACCTCTGATACATTACTGTGACCAGACTATTTTTTGTTACTGGAAATTCTCAGAACTACTGGAGTAAACCTCCTTTTGTGCAATAACTTAAGGTAATGCAAGCTCACTAAGAAGTGTCAGTTGGGTAACAAGCCTTGCATTTTATTTGTTTAACTTTTCCCTCAGTCCTCTACCTGGGTGCAACAAGGCTTGTCTGGCTTATGGATACTTTTCTGTGTTTTATTGCAAGTGAGGAACCCATTCCACTACTTCCTCACTCACATGTAAGGAAATCAGATTTCTGCCGTAGGTCATTTAACCTGTTAGTTAACTACAGGTAGCCAAAAAAATATATTTGTATGCCAATTATTAGTAATTGTATGTTTCTTATGTTTCTTATTAAAGCCGCACATGCCCAGTATGCAGACACCCATTATACAGCCCAGCTCCTGAGTGAAAATTGCTGCATTTCATGTTGGTGACTGTCAGCTGCTCAAGGCATGTCTTTCAGAAGGAAAAGCATGTCAAAAAGAGAAGAAAATGTTTTACAATTCTGATATTAAAGTGTATATTAAATAGGTATGCATTATGAAGCAAACAAATTTCAGACAGTATTTGTATATTGTTTGAGTTAAAGCCATGACTTAACCACATTACTTTAAGAAAAATGGCTTTCAGTTAGGTTTTGCTGAAAGACATGTTCTTTGAATGCTAAATATCTCTGACAAGGAAACAATTTTGTTCCACTTTGAAAAAAATTGAGAACATGGTATTAAAATGAAAAAAAGGCACATGATTATTAAAGAATTATCTTGTTTGTTAAAGTTGTTTAAGATAGTTGCTTGAGATTTATTGTCCCATGATTTTGAAAAATTCAGCTGTTACATATCTATTGTGATCGATTTCATGTATGTTCAGTTTAATATAAATATTATTGATCGAGTTGGTCTGCCTTTTATGTGGAGTTGATTCGTTAAATTGCAATAAACTTTTGTGCAATGAAAAGTCTTTAACAGTGTGACCGCTTGTGCTATGAAAAGTCTTTAACAGTGTGGCCGCCTGCAACCACACCCCCTACACACACCCTTGCCCTACCTCCCCACACACCCTTGTCCTACCCCCTACACACACCCTTGCCCTACCCTCTACACACACCCCTGCTCTACCCCCTAAACACACCCTTGTCGTGTCCCCCTATACACACTTTTGCCCTACCTCCTTCTCCACCCCTCGTATGTTTAAAGCGAAGCTTTTCATGAAAGTAATAAGGCGTACCAAAACTGGTATTTCGGTAAGAAAAGAAAAAAGGAGGCTACCTATTCTTGGGGTTTCACTGTTCTTCCCTCAGTGAAGTTCCTCGCTTCGACGACATTATTTTCTTATTTTTGACCCTGACGTCATTTTCTCTTACCTTTTATGGAGGAACGGAGTAGAAAAGATGGTAAAGGCACAGGAAATATATGATTGAGTAATCTAACGGGCTCAGGGGACGAGAATCCAGGTAGAAACCCCAGGTTTCATCGCTTACTTTGTTTTGAACAACAGTTATTAATGTTGATCGTACTTTATTCGTTAGCAGCTTCGAATAAGTCTCAAGTTGACGATCATAGCGCCGAGGTAGGTGTGGATGTTATTGTTTTTCGTTCCGTGTTTAGGGCATTCGATACTAAAATGTCGATTAAGTATCGTTTTAATCACTTCGTAAAAGGTTTCGTAACCGAAAGAGTAATAAAGATCGTAAAACCGAGGTTATTGATTAAAACACTCTTTTCATTTTTGGACTTTGACTCGGCTGAAATGAGTGCCCCACTTCACATCCTCGTGACACCATTTAACTCATGTTCGCTTGCCTTAACCTCATATTGAAATGCATAAGCGCACAAAGATATCTATTTTTATATTCAGCCGCCTTGTCCGTGCTACAAATAAACAGAAGAGAGGAACAGAATCCTAACCAATTCTTATGCTGAAAAGTGTATTATCTTGCGATTATAAGTACCTCGATTATCTCTATTCTTAAATATTTCCTTAAGATTTACCGATGAGGAGCCAAATATATTTCATTGATTGTAAATTAAATGTTTTGGAAAGGGCCGAGTTTACCAGAAATTAAATCAAGACATGCTGATGTTGAAACTTGTTTCACGCTTTCTTCATATAAGGAGGGTCTATGTTGACTGTTTTAAATCATAACAAAGACATAAGGAAATAACAAAGACATAATGAAATAACAAAGACATAATGAAATAACAAAGACAAAGAGTCGGTAAGATAGAAACTTTAAGTGATTTTCCGTATGAGTACGGAAAAAATACTTTAAGATTTGATGTGAAATCAGAGTAATTGGTCGGTCACGAGAGAGGTCCGATGTCTTGATACAGCATTTTGATTTATAATATTGGACGAACTGATGGCTAAAAATCCTAAGAGATCTAGCTTGTTTGATAAATGAATTTGGTATTTTGTTAACCCATTAAGTCATTTTTGAGCTGATAATGGTGCTATTGAATTCTGGTGACAAGTCGCATGAAGATTAAGTCTAGCAACCTGCTATTTACTGGTACTGGTATCTGGTCAATTCGCCACTACTAAAAACTCACCACCACGAAACTCACGAAAGAATCGTTGTTGAAACTTCAATTATTTCATTTTTTAACATGCTTTTTGTGTGCAACTTAGGCCAATTACACCTCTGAGCTGTATTTTACATTAACTTAAACTTCATATTGTTCTTAAAGGCTTTTGGGTAACGTTAACTGGCAAGCCTTTTAACAAGTGAGCCAGAAGTATTTAAACTTTTTTCATTTTGTAAGGCAGTGAGTAGAATTGTTGTGGATATGGAATTTTTGCACAATGTAGGAACTCACAAGTGTAAGACACCTTGTCGAACGTCTAATATTTCTTCTGAAGAGAGGCCTTTGTGTTGAAAATTCTTGTTCCTCATCTTCCCTACTGAGTTTGACATCAGTGGACCTTTCATTGAAGTAGCCAGCAAGCCTGCTCTAAAAATGACGCGGCATTCTTGAATTTCTCTCCTATATTCAGTGTAAACCTTTTCTCCTTATTCCTTTATACATACCAGTGAGTACTGCTATGGCCCTCTTTGTTTACAAACCATCATGCAGCACTCTCTATGGTCTTTAGCTTATGATTCATAGCTCTAACTAGTTTAGCACATTTCAAAAGGGGTGCAGCTTTTTGTCCAGGTAAAGATGTATAATGAACAGTCATGCTTAAAACTTTCGCCATACCTACTCTTTCAATTTGGACACAAAATATCTCTTAAATACCATCTTCAACCTTGAACTTTTTCTTAATTCAAGCACAAACTTTTGGTGTAAATGTAAAATAAAATTTTGTGTAAATTTTTAGGAGGTATGCAAGTGAGATTCTACATTTAAAAATCCTATGTCCCAGCAACCATGTCTACTTTATCTTTAGACTAATTTTTAAGCAGATAAGGATAATTAGTGCTTATAAATTGAAAAATTTTGTTATCCTTGCTAATGAATGCTGTTGCTATGGATTCAAAGTAAGTTTAACATTCGCAGGCATTTCTCATATTTTCCCTTTTAATGATATATACTGTTGGTCATATTATTATAAGACATTATTTTCTTTAGAAGCTTAATATGTTTCTTGTCATCTTACTTTATTTAGGAAGACAAAGAAAAAATTTTTACAAGTCTTCATTCATCATGTGTGATAAAGCTGCATGTGACAGGCAAAGCAAGTGCTCTTATCTTCTTAAGAAGTTGCAAAATTTCTTTCACCATGACAAGATTGTGGATGGAGGTGACAGTATCAAGCAGTTGACTCAAATCATTAGTGTGGTCAGTGGCTGTGATGAAGGCCAAGCCTATTTTAAAGCTATACAACAATGTGTTGTGCAAGCAATGATAGGGCTATTAGAAGGCTCTGGAGACCACTTCATCCTTCTACCTCCTGAAGGTGATTTGTTTGATGAATTAAATGCTCTCCATGTCTTAAGTCTCCTGGCTTTTCAAACTGAGGACATTGCTTGTTTGGAGGAAATTGCAAGCTGCTCTCAGGGTTATCCTAGTGATGGTTATTTGATGATCAGTGTGGGAGTGATGTTAATTCAGAGGATGAAGTATAGGCCGAGTGAAAAATGTTTTTTGAGTGCATTGAGTTACTTTGAACATAAACAGAATCATCTGGGCGCTGTTGTTGCCACTGTGAATTTGGCAGTCTTTCATAAGATCTGTGGAGACTATCGGAAAGCTCAGTTTTATTGTAATGCTGCGGTTAGGTTGTGCTTGGATTTCACAAGAACCCCAGCAACTGATGTTCATTTGAAAGTAGTCTTCAGACTTGCTATCTTGTCTCAAGAACTCAAAGACTACAATAGTAATCATGATATTCTGAGAGTTGCTGTGAAATTTGACATTGACCAGATTAGAGATACTTTTGCAGTGCAGCACATGAAGCAGCTGATGACTTTGCAACTGAAAGAACATGAAGGTGAACAGATTAAACATGACGAACTGGAAGAACTTGCCTTACAACTGTTTGTTGCAGATACATTCATACAAGCACAACCACTGACTGCTGACTTCATAGCAATTGTTATGACATTGGCAGAGATGTACTGCACCACTAAGTGCTTTAATGAAGCTAGGCAGTTGATTGACAAGTTGGAGTCAACATTCCTGCATTTTAATGGTGGAAATTGCCCACGTTTTGGCTTTTTACAGTACCAAATTGGCCACTTCAAATTTAAGTATGGAGAGGCTATCGACGCACAGAGTAGTCTCCTAAAAGCTGAGCAAATATTCATCAACTACTTTGGTAGAGAGCATCACATGGTTGGATCATGCAAGAGTCTACAGGGTGCCTGTGCCTTGCAGAGAGGAAACCAAAAGGAGGCCTGTCACTATCTAAAGGAGGCTCGCATTATTTTTGAGAAAATAAATCACCACCACCCAAAAGTAGGCACAATCCTTTTGAAGTTTGCTGATCTGGAGAGTGAGGCTGGAAATTTTGAGAATGCCAAATTAACCATTGAAGAAGCACTGGAAATGTTCATATTGTCTTGTGGTAAGGTCTCTCTTCGAACAGCCCTTGCCTATCTTCAAGGTGCATCTATTCTGCTAAGGAAAGGAAAATTCCTGCGGTCAGCTTTGGACAAAGTGAAAAAAGCCAAGGACATCTTTATATACCATGGCTTGCGCCATGATCATCCAGATGTTGCCTTCTGCCACTGTTTGCAAGGCTGGTTACTGCACTCCCTGGGTCAAGTCAAAGAAGCAGAAGAGGAGTTTCTCTTTGTACATCATCAGCTATCATCACAAGATGACTTGTCTATGAAGACCAAGGTTATTACCCCTGAACTTTTTCGAATGTTCTTTTTGGTAGATGCTGATGGTCTTGCCTTCAAGGGTTCTCTCTTTTCCCACTTTCTTTCTCTTGTCAGTCTGGTTCATATGAAAACAAGGGATGAAAAAACTGGTCATACGAGAGAAATGTTCAGCTGTTTGGAAGAGCTAGACTCCGAGTTCCTGACAGTTTCAAATTATGCGGGCAAACATGTGCACTGTGCATTGCAGAGAATTTTGGAGGCTGATATCCAGGTTTATTGCATCTTCATTCCTGATTCTGCTACACCACTAGAAGAGGATGAGTCCTTTTCATCACCATACAGTGACAAGGAAAAGAGGCCATCAGGAGATTTTGACAATGTGTACTTGATGTCATCATGCAGTGGCAATGGAAAGAGGCCACAATTTCTTCTCTTCTGGAAGACATCTGATGTCTTAGAAACAGGAGACTTGTGCTGTGTTACCTCTTC